TAACAAAATAATATGCATTGCAATAAAAATGATTAAAAGAACAAACAGGATGAAACCGCAAAGTCCACACTGAAACTTTAGGCTAAAGACAAATTTAAAAACATTTACAGTCTAAGTGGGTTTAAACAATTTTCTTTATTGATTAAAGATGCTGAAGCAGCAAAAAGGCTAAAAAATTAATAGGATCTAAACARGATAAGTTAAACTCAAGTCTCTAACTTGATTAAACAATAATAAAATGACTGATCTGGATGTTAACAGCTCCTGAGTAAAAACTATAATAAACCTGAATAAAACAGCATCTTGGTAGTATTATTCAGTCATAGTGAAACTATAAGTTTTTTTAATATTATACACCTTCATGTTCACTTTTGCTCTGTGGCTTTTAAAGACTTTAGTCCTGGTTATATGTATTTCTGCCTTCCTAATTCCAACAAATAAAACTCCACAAAGCCCAGATGAACTCACCCACTGATGCTTCGTTGAACTTTATGACTGTCAACGTCCAGAAAACGATGAAACCTGAAACAGAAACATCCTGTCAGCAGCACTTCTCCCAGCAAGCTAATGTTACTTCAAACTTAGCAGCTAAGCTAGCTCCTAGCTTATCGGCGGGCAACTCACTTGAAATTTGACCAGGCAAATTTTAGGGCAAGTTGGAAATTTTGGTCCTCTTCATCTTCGATCCCGCTGATACATTTTATCAACTTCTTCGTTTCTTTCTCCGTTTCCTTTTCGAAGGTGGTCCAGTGAGCCATGATGATGCTTGTGATGCTAGGAACCCTCCAACGTCAGGCTACGTGTAAAACAGTCCGTTTGGCTTTTGCATCTAATTTGACTTCTCTTCGAACTAAAAAGATATAAGAACCAAGAATATGTTGGAACAGATCCGCAAAAACGGGAAGGCTGTTGGTGTTTTGTTCATTGGTTTCTTYATTAGCGCGCTCTGCATGCAGTTTAGATTAAAGCGCAATACGCATGCGCAATACAGAAAAAAAAACACCGTTTTGTTTTATTATGGCAGGCCGTTGTAACATATAAACCAACCATACTTCCATCGTGTTTCCCAACCTTTTTAGACTTGTGTACCCCCTGAGCCATTTTGTCATACAACTAGTACCCACTCAGTCAAACATAATGATTCTCCAAAACTATAATGTACAATAAATGATGATTAAATGAAAATGATTTATTTAACCCCCCTAGAATGTTTAATTCTCAGGCGTTTTATTCTTTTCTATGGAGGCCCATTTCCGCCACCCTGATAAAAAAATAAATAAAACTTGTATCTCATAATTATGACTTAGCTATCGAGATACTATCTCATAATTATG